TACTGCAATAAGTTGAGACAAGAACTGAGAAGTCGCTTCCGCAAGAAATATCTGGCTCAACTGGTGCAGAAGGCAAGCGCTTCATGTCAAAACCTAAAGGTGGGGGACGTAATCCTCATAGAACTAGACAATAAAAAACGAGTAATGTGGCCAATGGGTAAAATTGTAAAAATATTCAGCAGTAGAGATGGGGCTACCAGAGTGGTACAGGTAAAAACAAGCAGTGGATATTTGGTAAGACCAATCAAAAAACTGTACCCACTAGAAGTTTCAACTACCAGTGATCCTAACTCTGACAACTGAAAACAGATCTAGATACGGTAGACTCTTAAAACCAAGAACATGCTCTTAGACATAATGTACAATATAGACGTTTTGGACTTATATCCTCTTTTCTTTATCAATGACTTTAACTCTTTCGCATCGAGAGAGGGCAAAATCTCAATTCCCCAAACATCGAAAACGCCCGTATCTAAGAATTTCTCTTGGAATGCTTTTCCTTCCCCCATGACAAGTTGAATACTACAGCGCTAACAATAGCCTTACTTAAGTAAAGCGAGAACTTCTTTCTTCGACGCTTGACATTGTGTGAAGTTCCCCTTGGGACGGAATTGCAACTTCGGGCATCAAAAGCTAAACACTGACAGTAAACAAAGGAAAGGAAGGAACAAAGGAAACAAGGAAGCTACTTTTAGTAGCTTCAAAAGAATGATTGACATGTGATTTAACAACAACTGAAAGCAATGAATAATGCAGTAGCGTGATGGGGGAAAGCACTGGGTAGGAAATTATTCAGGCGTTTCGGGCGTCCAGCCGATGTCTGAATGCTCGGGCGTTTGGATCGACTTCGATGCGAAATAGTTAATTAGAAGTGTATTCTTTATTGGTCTCATTTTAGTATGATCTGTCATATATATTGAAGGTTAACCGAGTTTCTTTTATGTGCTTTCTAAACTAATACATAGTACTGTTTTGTTTTATTCGTAATGTTAGAAAATTTTGTGCAATGCCTGATTTTGAGGAAATCAGGGTGGGAGGATGTTGTACCTCTCACATGCAGCGAGGATAAGTCTGGCAACAGCTGTAGGAAAAAAAACTTGGCAGTGCTGGAATGGCAACAGCGGATGATATTCTATTATATTTTGATTTTGAGTCGAGGTTTTTTGCGTCTTTTGCGATACTGTTGCGTTCTAACATTTGAGTTTTGGGTGAATGAAATGGAATTCACTGCCCTGCTTCGGATATTAGTAATATATGTTTAGAAAATTAGTTGCGTTGAATAGGATGAAACCCATGTGTTTGAATTTGCGGTATTTTTCCTCCTAAAGTTGGGTCGAGTTCAGAACATTATGCCAGGCTTATTCACGCTGGTGCAGATAAGTTCAATTTTTGTTATTGTGTTTATAGTGTATAACTTGCAAATATATGAATAGAATTCTATAAAATAAACATTTAAAATTCTGGAATGGTGTCTTAAAATTTTAGATGTAGAGTATTCACATTGCTATGTCGGAGCCAGTGGCAGTCAGGTGTAAAGAAAAATTGTTTTTGCTCCACGACATAACACTGGCTAATTGAAATAAAATCCTAAATTATCATCATTTCTTCGTTTCAGTAACAATGTCGCATCCAGCATTAATAGATGAATTAGACACAATTTTTTCTCCTCTGCAAAGTTTCTGTCAAAATACAACAAATTGATACTGGTGAAACTTTTGCTTTAGCTTGTGACATTTTCTGGTGTGTTGCTTGATGAACTTCATCAGGCTCATCAAAAATATCGTAAATCAGAGCTGGCACTTGGCATTTTTTGTCACCCGGTATTTTTGAAATTTTTCAATATTTGTTCTGCTTAATGAAGTTCGAAATTTACTTTTTGGAAGTTAAATTTCCGTTTTAAAGGAGGAGAGTAAACCCTAAATCATTTAGTGTCTCTGAGTTTTAGTATTGCTGTATTCCTTCAAATATTTCGCATTTTTAATTAATGGAACAAATTAATGTTGAAAAATTATAAATGCTACTTTTGATTTACGTATGTATAAATTCTCGACAACAGCTTATATTTTAATTTCTGTCACTAAGCTTTTGTGAAAGAGAAATATTTCGTTTTTAAACATGCAAACTAAACTATGATTAATGACCTAAAATTTAAATCGTTTTCAAACTTTCCTAGTTAAAATATTGAAATGAAAGTTTTGAAAATTAATGAATCAATCATGTGCATAACCTGGAGCATAATTTAAATGAAATTAAATATGCATTAGGTTGAAACTTTCATTTATCTCTTTGGATTAAACCTGAATTTACAACTCCACATTTAAAACAGCGTTTGTATCAGCAGTGAAATTATCTCTCCGGCTTAATTGCTTTCCTTTTCAAAACGAGAAAGCTGAGCTCGAAATTATATTAATTGCCTAAGCATGTGCAAGAGAACGATTTATGGCACCAATTGACCTCAAAATCAACAAACGATGTAAAACAATCCGATTGTTGCTGCCAAATGAATTCAGAAATAATTACTGCGATTGTTTGTCGGATATTGTTCACGGGTTCGCAGAATTGAATGAAAAGAAATTTATCCCACTCGTGTTCGTACCACTGATTCCATCCATCCTCGAAGTGGGTGGGAAAAAATAATCGATGGGAAACCGGACAATTTACGGCCTACCATTTACGCGAAGACGATAGCAATGAATCGCAAAAGAGAAAATCGATGGCAGACTTTTATCGATTTCCTCATCGGTATCTTTTATGGAATACCAGAGAAGGAAGTGCTGTTGCTTTGTCTTTAAGGGTACTTAATTGTTGAATTCGAAAAGCAATTAAAAGGATTTTCTACGCCTCTAATTACGCAAATTCAAAATTATATGCGTCTATAATATGAAATCATAGTCATATATCTTGATATAAGAAAGAAGCACATGAAGGAAAAATACAGCCGTGATTTAAATACTCAAATAATTTTTCACTAAAGCATTTTGCAAGCTAAATTTTAAAATCAAGTTAAGAATGTTATTCTTATGCTTAACAAATTCTTTATACCCCTTCTGATTCTTAAACAATATGCAGTTAATTTAAATTAATACAAATTTGCATAAAAAGAGCATTTCTTAACATTCGCTTTCCATAGTGTTCCTGAAGCTGCGATACTTGGTATATAGATAACAAATAATTGCAGAAAGAATCAATAGCATAGAAATGCTATATAGAATAACTATGCGGATAAGATTCTTTATCAAAGACCGGTATTTAAATTACATTCAGCAAAAAAGAGATTCTGAATGCAGAAATGAGTAATTGTGAAGGAAAAGTTGCCATTTTCTCTGCGCACAGAATTTATCCTCAATAAAAACTGCACGACGGAGGCAAATGGAACTAAAGATCAATTTCGTGATTAACAATGTACGTAATGAACAGTGTGGATTATAATACATATGGCATAATATAGCTTTAGATTTTGTTTAATTTGGTAGTCGACGATTTCTTTTCTTTAACATAGTGTGTGTGTGTGTGCGAAAATAATTTGAATGAACATTTGCGCGTACAGAATCAGAAAGTAAAAATAAGATTTTGGCTATGGAAGGCTTCAGAATTTATTATAAGAAATGTTCAGCTTAACGAATTTTCAGAAGAAATTAAGACATACATTATTAAGACAAATTAAGACTTTATACATTCTTGAACACGTAGTTGCATGAAATAGGTGAGCAGCCTTATTGTGTTCCTCAGTACTATACACAATGTGTTCTTGATGTGACTATACAATCCATCTTCAATTCAGGGAGGAAGACAGGTTGCAACAAATGCTCCATGTTGTACCACAAATGCACGAGTTACATAAGACTGAAGGCCAAGGGAGCAGTTGCAACCTTGCAATGCAATTAAGGCGAGCCTTGTAGAGAGTGGTCAGCTCTTTTTTTTTAATTTTTTTTATTTACGTATTTATTTATTTTTTGTTGATGATGTTGTTGAAAAAGGCCTTTGGGAATGACCTGAAGATAAGGAAGAAGTTCAGGCTGCAGCGCGTTATCACCTTAGTGGGTCTGTTAGAAAGACTGTCACGCTTCTCAAAATTATGGAATGCAGATTGCTTTACTGAAATTAACAGCTAGTAATTATCCGAAATATTAATTTTCTAATTATCTCAATTAAACCGCCGCTATTTTACTTAATCCAGTTACACATTTGCGTTCGTTACTTACATCAAATTATATCTGCGTACGTTTATTTGATTTCTAATAACTCTCTTTTGATTTATTGTGTAAAAGGCGCAGAGGAAAAAATTAAATGTTTAATTAACCCAATTACGTAGATAAATCCTTCTAAAAATAATGGAAACATACTACATTTCAATGTATTTTCTTTTATTTAAATTATTTTACCTAATCTGTAACTACTTTTGCTGTTTCTCAAGGCAAATTATTTCAGAATTAAATCACAATAATGGGCATTTAAGACAATATTCCTAAAAATTTAAAACATGCGCATTTAATAAGAATGAAAACGTAATAATTCTGCGTCTACAATTATATTTGCTTAATAAAATGTTAAGTTTAAACTTTAGAAGTTCTATCTTACTTCTTATGTTTTAATAATTTTCATTCTTGTGTAATATAATTGTGTAATAATTGTGTAATAGTATTAACGTTTTAATCGAAATTATGCCTGACTTGAGAAGTATAATTTTGTTATTATTCTCCAAATTTAGTTGGTGCCTTGCAAAAAAATTAGCATTCATAATCATATTACCTTTAGAAATTGAAAAATAAATCAAATCTTTATCGATTTCATGTTATTTGTTTACTTAAGTTAAAGATGAAGTTCTTCATTAGCAGCATTTGCAGTATGAAAACCAATAAATGATCTATCAAGCAATGTTTTTCCAAAAGGAAAAAAAAAAAAAAGAAATGAATGGAGGCATTGGTAGAGCCGCGGGAAACACAGAAGTTCTTCTTTTTGGCAAGCAAGGAAATAAAAGAATTTGATAATATTTTTTTTACCTGATGGTAACCCGAATCTGTTCCATCATCACTTCGTCCTCTACCGGATAAATGCGTTGTTGCGTAAGGCTGCGGGTAGTAAGAGGAAACAGACGAAGAGTGTTTCTTGTTTTTCTCCATTTCTGACATTCGCATTGCTTCGTGACCGCTACCTTTTCGGCCTTCATAAGGTCCCGTTCCTTAAGAAAGAAATTGGTCATTAATTTTCATGTAAAATGTGTAAGCGTATTAGTACATTCATTGTGAGTTAAAAAAGCCATAAATGAATCGACAGTTAGCTCTCACATTGGTTTAAAATATCAATATCTATGAAATAAGCCTTATAATGATTTCATTACGAACTTCAATAAGATCAAAGCAGGAGAATTTGGACTCAATCTAAATTATTGTCAGAAACTTGCCTCAATGTAATTCACAACTAAATAATTTTGTTTTTCCAAGTCTGTTGGAAAAATATTGCGGCTTATTATTTGATATATATGCATGTGATCAAGGTATTCTATATCTTTATATCACTAATTATTAAAACAATAAACTTTTTGACAAAAAAAGAATCTGTAATTTTTCTATAATTAAACTTATTATCTGGAACTTCAATATCTGTAGAAAAGTTAGCGGTACTACAATATTCAACCAAATAAATAGATTAAAAAAAAAATGTCCTGAAGTTGACGACTTAAAAGAAGAGATTGTTTTCTTAGAAAATAGCATATAAATAGCATACTTGAAAATAGCATACTTGCAAATTTTATAAATTAGTATCTTAAAAAAGTAATCTTAATTTAATCTTTAAACTAACAGGCAGTGATAAGTTCAACTTAACCTTAGGGAGGATAAGAAGGCATGTCCTAGCAGCTTTGAAGATTTGTATATTTTGTAATTAAGCTGTATAAATTATATTCCGTAAATCTGCGTATTATTCCTTATAGTAATAAAGAAAATTTTCCTTTGGATTGACTTTAACCCAGAATTAATTCTAAAAATCAATTTTTCTGTGTCCTTATACGAAATAAAGGAAGTACTGTATTCACGAAAAATTCCGGGTACCATATTTCAACGAAAATATCCATTTTGACTGCTATCGAATGCAATTTAACAATGTTTTTGCGTGACATCTGCCCGTTGGGACAGAATAAAAGACTCTTTTTTCTCCAAATGAATTTTAAAACTGATTTAAAATGGATTCAGAAGACATATGCATGTATTTCGCATAACTGAAAAACGAGTAGCCTCAGAACGTTAAAACTTTGTATGTAGGACTGCTATAAAACGTAGCTGTGCACCTACCTTTTCGGTTGCAATCGGCCGCATCAAAGGTATATAATATATACACCCACTTTGTTACTCGGCTCAGTGCGCTCAGGTTTTTTTCGTTTTATATATTGGTATATTGCGCATTTTTTGCTTTAAAAATAGTTGAATTATGTTGTTCTTATCTTCTGATTAAAGTTTTCATGCCATTAGTTAAGCTGCATGCAATAGCTGTAGAATTATAAAAAAATTTAAATTGTTCAAATGCGCCTAAGATTTTTTTTTAGTAGCCATATTTGTTTAGATTTGAAACAGCAGAATAGCGAATTTATTCTTTCTGCAGCATCAGGGTCTTTTTGCCGAATGCGACCCAAAGTAAACTTTTAGTTTTATGCACTGAAAAATCTGCCTTCTTTCCCACTGGCCGAATTGCTTGTTTTTGCGTAGAACCTGTAATTTTAATTGTAAAAATTGTTTTTTAATTGTTTTAACTGTATTTGGTGTTTTATGTTTTTCTATATCTTTCAATTTTTAAGGAAAATATTTTGAGATTTTATGCATATTTATTTGCTTTGCCGCGAAGTGAGAACTGAATTAATTGAACGAGATTTTATGCATATTTATTTGCTTTGCTGCGAAGTGAGAACTGAATTAATTGAACGAGATTTTATGCATATTTATTTGCTTTGCTGCGAAGTGAGAACTGAATTAATTGAACGAGAAATATATCTGTAATGAAATCCGAGGAAATAAGTTTAAGTGAAATCCAGGAAAAAAATGCGTATAATTTGATATTCCGTACAAGGAAGTCATGTGGTGTACAAATCAGCCTTTTTACTTCTTTGTGCGAAGTAAAAAGGAAGTATTGTAATCGCGAAAAGTTTCAGGCAGAATATTTCAACGAAAATATCCATTTTGACCGCTTTCGAATGCAATTTAACGATGTTTTTGCGTGATATATGTACGTAAGGACATAATAAAAGACTCTACTCCTCCAAAAAAAATTATAAAAATTCGCTTTAAAATGAATTCTAAAGATAATTTTTCGTGGCGTCTGTACGAACGTATGTACGTACGTATCTCGCATAACTCAAAAACGAGTAGCCTCAGAACGTTGAAATTTTGTATATAGGACTACTATAACATGTAGATTGCAACTCCTTTTTGGTTGCAATCGGCAACCCAAAAATATATTATATTTATATCCACTCTCTTACTCGGCTCAGTGAACTCAGTTTCTTTACTTCTTATATGTTTGTAAATTGTACATTTTTTGCTTTAAAAATGATTAAATTATGTTGTTCTTATCTTCCGGTTAAGGTTTTTATGCCTTTAGTAAATGTGTATGCAATAATTTTAGAATTATCAACAATTTTATAGTAAATATGTATGCAATACTTTTATTGATACAATTGAGAAATTATTTTATACAATTGAGCCAAAGCCAAAATTTAGCAGTTATAAAATTAACAGTACAATTTACTCTCCCCTGCTTTAGCGTCTCATGCTCGTTTCTGACATGGCGCCATTTTTGAAATTTCTTTTTGTAAGGTAAATTTTAAGTAGAGTTTAAAATTGATTTTGATCTCAGTAATTAGTTTACTTATTTCTTTTCATTTGCATTTTATTTTAATTTTTCTTTCTTTTTTGAAATTTCTTATTTTTATTTCAATTTTTCTAATTTTTAGTTTTAAGTATTGTTCTGTATTACTGCTTTGTTTATTTTTAATTTAGTTGTGATTAATAGTTTTTCCGCGCATCCGAGAATTATGTCATACCTGTTTGACTACTAAACAGCGGTCAAACGGGCATGGCCGCCAATACCGGTAGTTCGACCTGCGTTCAAATCTCGATGAACGTTTTAGCTGCATAGCCGTTTTCGTGAGTTTTCCCATCTGCAAGGCAAGCGCAAGCCAGTTTTCGTCAGAAAGCCTCGATGAAAGCATTCTTTTTTGTTTGTTAACTAAGCTAACTTCGTTTAAAGTTTTAAAGAGTTTTGCCATAACCAAGTAATTCCAAACCATTTAACTATCCTTGTATACTTCTGTCATAGTAGAATAAAATTATAAAATGCATTTTTATGCATCCAAAAATAAGCAATGTAAATCAGATTTTCATTAAATGAACCACAATAATAGACACTAATTTCATTCTAACACGGCGGTAAATTTAATCATAAAACCAAAATTTTTTACAGTTTAAGTTTATTAAGAAACAAATAGAATTAAAAGGAAAAATTATAATCGAAGGCTTGTAAACGATGACCAGTGACGATAAGCCATGTATATAATGTACATACTTAGAAAGATACTGTAGTAAGAAGTATTGGAAGAAACAAGGAAGTAGAAGATTATTTATTAATATTCCAATTGTCGTTTTTAAGCATCAGGTCACTGCGTTTACAGTTTCTATGCCTTCTTTGTCCATAAGTAGCTGAGTAGAATCCGCCGAAAACTGGTAGTTCTATGAATTTGGCACATAAGCTGGCCGTAAGGAGTTTTCGCGGTGTTTTTCATGTGCAATGTGATTAGGAGTCAATTCCTCCAAAGAAACTTCCTTAAAGAGAAGGCCCTAGTGTTTTTTGTTATAATCTAAGTATTCCAACCCTATGTCTGTTATTACAATGTCCGGTTTCATTGTCTGTTCTGCTCCTGTTTATCTGCCATATAGTTCGTCATAGGGAATTATCAACATATCTTCCAAAAGTGCTTCTAAAACGCAGTACTCTTTTGCAAAAGTTTCAGTTTCCTTAAATCATTGCATTGAACAAACGCTGAATTATTGTTATAAGTTGTTTGAACTTTTTCGTAAAAGCAAAAATTTTCTTCATCTTTTAGACATTTAGAAGGAATATTATAAGTTTAATAATTCGTAAAAGTGGTATATATTAAGTTTTGTAAAACATAAAGGATTTATATAATGAAAAGGTACATCATACAGGAAAAGGTACCATAATTTCTAGTTATGCATCTACTAAATATAACTTGGTTTACAGTTCCTTTCCCATAGGTGCAGTAACACAATTACCACGCATCGTTTCTCTGCCACAATCTGACTACGTGATTTATTGAACAACTGAAACTCACATCATCTGTTTCAAATATTTTCGCTAATTTATTAAGCCGATTAATTACTCTCACAGGAACTAAATAAACATTGTATTAATGGGTTAAACACTGCAGATATAGTAATTCTTGAAGCATTACATAACTAAATTTCAAGTAATATAGAGAGATAACAAAGGAATGATTGTAAAGATTATGTTAATTTTATTAACAGTTAAATTTTGAGTTGAACTTCTTTCCTGTCAAATTCTTAACTTCAACTTAGTACTTCCGGCCAGAACGTAGTTTTAGAATCACGTCTGAATACATAATGAGGAGGAGCGGTATCTAAACCACGAAGTTGTCCGGTCTTAGAGAGAGAGTTACCAGGTATTCTGCCTGCACGCGTCCGCTTTTTTAAGCTTCTCTCTCGTAAGCTATTATTACGCTCGGCCGTACTTAGGCCCTTGATTCCTTTGTCAATTAGCGTTAAGGGGCCAACTCGGTTAGAATCTTGATAGCTTCGGCTATATCTATTTAATTTAGATTTAGTTTATTTCTTAGCCTCTTAAGTTTAAGCCCGAGTGTCGGCTTTTATTGTACACTCCAAGATGGAGTTCTGTTACATTTTATTTGAATAATAAAGGGTTATTTACCCTTCCATCTAGTTGCTTCTTGTCACACGAACTCAAGCGATTATTCTCTTATCAATTCTTAAGATTCTTCACGTTCAACAGTAACGTAGTATTTACAAAGTGGGGAACTCTACATGATAAAAGTGATAAAAAATTAAAACTTTTTTAAATACTGGTAATTTTTTAACATTAGATTCGTAGAGACATTAGGTAATTTGGAAGCAGGAAAGATGAAAAATGAGCAACC